GCTTCACGCGACAAAGTCAGCTCGGCGTGATTGCAAACGAGCGACGCTCCCTCGTGGCGACACATGTGCACACACACGCGCACGCGCGCACGCACACACACGCACGCACGCCCGCCCGCCCGCACGCACACGTGGGGAACGGACACACGACCATGAGTGCGTGCGTGCGTGCGTGCGTGCGCGTGCATGTGCGCGTGCGTGTGAGGTTACCATCAACGCACTTCTTTACCGATGCATTAAAGTTTCAACGCGATTGCAACGCGCCGAGCTAACGCGGGTAGAGGCAATCGGCAAAAAGAGATGAATGGTGGCTGGGAGGCTCATGACCTATTAGCGGCAATATCGCGATCTATAGGTCCCGTTCCCCTGCGGCTAAAGACCGCGGACGCTGCGGAAGGAGTTAGGGAGGAAGCGTGAGCAAACAGAAATAGCTAAAAAATACCGCCGATCGTCTTTCATTACTTGCTAAAATGATAATAATTCTTTACGTGGAAGGAACTTTGGGACTGGAACTTTGGAGGTTGCTTATTCTTATCGGCAGACTGTGATATTAATTGTGCCCACTGAAGTTAGTGGACCCCCCCCCAAAAAAAATGTGTTTCCTACATTTCGCGTGAACAAATTTCCTATCTTCCTTTCTGTCTGGCAAGCACTGCACGTTATGTTGGTCAATAATGGATGTATACACTTGGAACAGTTTTCTAAAATAGATACTATACTTGTAATAGAAGGTGTGGACATCATAGTTAATTTATGTATACAGATAGCTAAGCTAGCTATATATAGATGTAAACTGAATAATTCCAGACCAACCATCGCTGCAATAAAAGCCAACATCAAACACATGATGGATATAGACAAATATATTGCACAAACAAATAACAATATGAACAAGTTTTATGGTAAATGGGCTGCTTTATTTCACAGCTTACAATAAAACAATATACTACTCTATTGTATAGGACTACAAAAGGTATGCCAACATGCGCAATGTGCATAACTTTGTTGAATTAGTGGTCGTGGCCTTTGTACAGTAACTTATTATAATTCACCGCCTATAATTTGCTTCTTTACTATATGTAATGTATACATCTTACTGCATTTTGTTGGGGACTTTATCTAAGTGTCTGTACTTATAATTATTCAAATTTTTTTATTTGGATCTCAAAACATTGTTCTGAATATGTTCCTATTAGTTGTTCAAATCCTGTATGTGTCTACATATTTTGATCAGCTATAAAATTATGTGTAAAATAATTTTACACACATTAACTATTTAATTAAATTTATTTATTAATTAATTACTAATTTATTTAACCAACGCACTAACTAATTTATTTAATTAAATTAATTTACACATGTACTTGTGTCAAATCTGAAATCAATAAAAAAATAAAAAATTGGTTTTTGATATTATAGAAACATATTATGGGCCTTGATTCACAGAATCATTCAATCATCTGTCTTGATTCACAGAACAGATGCAATAATACTCTATAGTTCCCCCCCCCACAAACCCCCCGAGATGGCGTACCAAAAAACAGTTCCTCAACCCCAGCGTTTTTGCTACTATTGCAAGTTATCACATGATTTCTTATAATCGGACCCGTGGCTTTGATCCCACCAGGAGCAGCGTAGCAGACGGAATCTATTTATTACGTTATTACTGACAGCATACGTAGTGCGGGACGGTGGGAGGGGAGCGGAGGGAGAGGGGGAGGGGGGTGCGCACGAGCGTACGTCGGTGTTCCTGTGTGCGTGTTTGTTTCTGCGAGAGATACATGCAATAATGATAGCTAACCTACATACGGCCCGATAACATTACGACAAGTAACACCTTGAGAGAATATGAAGCCATCATCAATAAATAACATTCATAATACTTCCATTAGTCATCATCCTGGGGAGACCGTGGCTTGGGACTAGTAATACAGCGATCTATAAAGCCATAAACCCCACCATCTGCAACACTATCCCATAATCTCCACCCTAGTTAGTGTATCCCGAGCATTCAACCAGGGAAGGAAAAATACACGTTCACAATGCGTGCTAATGGTTCAATAGGCAAATCCTCGACGTGGCGAAATTCAAATAGCAATTACATCGATCGACGTATCATCCTAGACGCTTGATCTGCGCATATAGATGCAGTTACATGTTTAAAGTTTTGCAACGAGACGAAGTGAGTAGCAACGCTAATGAGCCAATGTAATGTAGATTATAGAGAGAGAGAGGGAGAGAGAGGGAGAGAAAGAGAGGGAGAGAGTGAGAGAGAGAGAGGGGGGAGAGAGAGAGGGAGAGAGTGAGAGAGAGAGAGGGGGG